GAAAGAGGAAAACTGTGAGTTGATAGTCAAGACACTTTGAAATGGTTTCATTTCAGGACTCTGTGGATGGACCAAGGGAGGAAAGGATACTGTGCAGGGACTTCAGGGAGAGTAATATTTCAAAATTTATAAAGTGTTAGAGAATATTGTCCTTTGAGATTTTCTTTCCTAATACACAGTAATCAAAACAATCACAAGAATCAGAGCAGATTGTAAGGAAATTCCAGGAGATCTGGAATGAAACTGAAATCCATCAGCACATCTATGGTCTGCTCCAAATCCCACAGACCCAAATTTGAAAAGTATTTGACTATCCAGATGTTGGTACCCATGTAAGTTATCTGAATTTCAGAGGATCTGTACAAATTGCAACTCCTTTTGATTCAAAGATTAATTCTCTAATTTCAATATAAACTAGAGGGTCTTTATGTGCTGACCTGGAAGTTAAGGATTGGTCTCAGTTTGGTCTCTTTTCATTGCTTTGAGGGAAAGTTCATAGCCAAGAAACATGGCTGAACTTGTTGGGAATCCTCGCACTGCATTGACCGTGATGCCCCTAAAAAAGACCTGTTGGGGATGGAGAAAGGTTAGAGCACAGGAATATACTGGCTGTTTGAAGAAGAAAACATTGAACAAAGTCATGGTGTGATTCTGAAGAGCCAAATGTTGGTTTGCTCAGAAGATAGACTCTCATTGCTGGCCTCTGCTGAAATCTGTGCTGGAGAATGGAAACACGACAGCAGAAGTCACTGGTTTGGTATCATTGTGCTCCTTCTCCCCAGGGACACCCTCTGTATCTGCCAGCAAATCTACAAGATGGGGAGGGTAAAAAATGTCCTCTTGCCACTGATGTAGAGCAGAAAGCAAGAAACCTAAAATGTCTTCCAGTGTCCTACCTACCTACAGCCCCTCCTTCCCTTTGCACACACAAGCACAGGAGGATCATGCAAACCCCAGGGGACCACCAGAAAGCTGTTGCTTTCCTGCAGCAAATGCTCTGGCTCCCAGGGTTGAGTCAGTGGGTGCAGAAGACATGGAAAAGGAGCAGGAGCAGTGGGTATGAGCCAGCCCAGCCTGTGCAGGCATTATGCCACGTGGACTCATTTGCAGGTTTCACCTTTGAGCATAGAAGCAACCTCTGAATCAGCAGAAAACTAGACTCAGTCTTTACCTGGCTGAGAACTTACTCTTGCCACCAGTTCTGGAAAAATATTTGATGGAAGCTGATATTTTCACGTGTGGGTTCCTAAGGTGAAGCTTTGGTTCTCATCCATATCCCAGCATTTTCCACCATTAAAATAAAAGATCTCCACAGCCAGACATCCTCACTCTGCTCAATATATCTGTATTTTACAAGATGCTGACACAAGAGGAAAAGACCCTGTGGCTTTTCAGTGCTTGAACAGTAAAGTGCTTTCTGGAAAGTAGAGAAGGGGACTTTGTCTCTCCATGCACCTGGTTTGTCTCCCTTTGAGAAACCTCCTGGCTACAAACTCTCCTGCCTGGTGTGCTCAGGCCACTCACTCAGGCTGAGCCTATTTACAACAGGATGATCACAGGGAGTATCTCTGCTGGCCTGTTCCTAAAAAAATGCCTCCCTTAACTCCCCCAGCCCATCCCTGTGGTCACTAATCTAAACACCAGAAGTTCAGAATAGACAAGAAAAGCACCATCAGCAGAGCAAGCTCCCTCCCAGGCTCTCCAAAGGCAAAGCTCCCACGGCTGCTGTAAGGAAGCCTGGAAGGTCTCAGCTCCAAGAGCAGAAGCCCATGGATCTAAGTGTCTGTCCGGAATTTCCCCTGAAATACTGAGCTCTGCTAAACACAACTTGTGTCCAGCAAATCCAGTGCGTGGTGCTGACTTGTGTGAGACAGAATTGAACAATCTCCACATGGTTTAGGGCAGAGTTTGCAACGTGAAATTGCAACTTTGGCATCTTCAGGATATTACTTGATTTATTGGGGTGTTTTATTTTGCTAGGAAGTTTCTGGGAGGAAATTCAAACGTTTGCAGTATACACCAAGTAACACAAAAGAGCCACGTTAACCAACAATGAAGATTTATGAAGAAAAGCCCAGAGGCATATGATTTTTTTCTCATCAGAATGAACACACCTGACTATGGAGAAAGAAGAGGGCTATGGTTACATTTTTTTGTGTGTCCCAGGCAAGTATTTTCAGCACTGTAAATACTGTTACTTTGTCCCAGAGTGAAAACATCCAGAGCTGAGTTTGCCATTTACCAGGTCCATTTCTCCCAACATATAAATAGATTTTTCTTACAAGAGAAGGATCTGGCCTCATCAACTATTACTCAATCCTATTGCCAGGCATAAGAGCAGAAAAACTGCAAGCAGATCTGACCTCAAACAAAATAAAAAACCAAGTGCCTGAAAGAGTTGTTAATATTCAGGCAGGATAAGGAGGGAATTGGGTGAGGAGGAGGATGGAGAGGAGGGAGAACATGGAAATTCCCTTTGCAGCCCTGCTGTGTGTTCCTGTGAAGCTCCACAGCAAACAGAGCAGGCAGCCTGTGCCCAGCCTGGGGCACCCTGACCCTGCTCTGACCACCACAGCATGGTCTTCAGCACCTCTCCAGGTGCCTGTTCTTCATAGGAAAGTGACCCTCTTCAAACAACAGCAAAAACCCAACCAGACTGCAGGCTTCTGTGCCAGGTAGCACAATATGGTGGCATGTTGGCAAATATTTAAATCACATTGACTTGTGATTTTGCTGGTTTATTTTGGGTTGGGCTTTTTTGTTATTGTTTGTTTCAGTGGCTGTTTTTTGTAACTTGTCACTTTTCCTTCAGGATGTGAAAATGAAGCTGGGAAGCTAAAAGGCCTCTCAATGTTTTGATGACAAATTATATACAGATTGATTTGAATATCAGAACACATTGCTCCTTGTAACCATGCACTGACAGAGCAATAAAGCTGCAAACCTGGTTCTCTGCCTTTCACATTTAACTGAGGCAAAGTTTGCAGGAGGAACAAACAACTTTTATTACACTAATAGACAAAGTCAGTAACAGGAGATAAGTTGTTTTTTTGGCTTGCAGCCTTTCTTTATGTTTGAAGCCAAAGCAATTCTGATTTAAGAGCATTTGCAATCGGCTCTGTCCTGGTGCAAAAAGAATGTGGGCAGTGCAACCACAGCATCAGTTCCACCAAAGCATTGCCCAAGCTGACCAAACACCCCGCTGAAAACTCTTCCCACTGCCTTCAGTGTCAATGGGAAACATCTGACCTCTGAGTGTTGTCAAAGCAATCACAGAGGCAACTTTTTCTACCTCTAATTTATGGTGAGTCAAACCACATCCACAATTAAATGAATGCACTGGCATGAAGTGCTATTTTAAGTTAATTACACCAGCAGATGGTGACCCCCCGTCGCTCATTTTCTCATTGCTGTAAGGCCCATTATTGCTGTCACTATTATGATTTAAAAAGAATCTTCACTATAATTATCTACTGTCATTATTATAATTTATCAGTAACTGGCTTTAGCTGTGGGTTTGCAACAGCCACTATATTTCCCAACTGAAAATTAAAGGCCTAATACCCAGATTTTACTTCAAACACCACTTACTTTTAAGCCCTCGCTCTGGTAGCTTTGCATGATACAGTCAAGGGTCCCTTTGTACTTGTTTAAATAAACTCCATCAGCCTGAAGTCGACTTTTCATAACATCCATTGGAGTAGCAGTCCCCCAGGAAATGGCTCCTAGAAAAATGCAGAAGTATTTGAACAGCTGCTTCTCTGTGTCTCCTTGGCCGCAGGTCAGTGCACTCAGAAGTTCACCTCTCATCTACCACATCATATTCACAGGATTTTTATTTCAGGGCATTCACCCAACTCAGGCACGGGACCAGCATTTCTGGGAGCAAAGTTCCCTGTTTCTAGAAGCAGCATTGAGATGTTAGGGTTTATGCTGGCAATCAAATGCAGAGGGTGCTCCTCCAGGTACAAATGCATCATCTGCAGAGCTTCTAGCAGAGCATGGACATGTCCTGGGAAGAGCCCAGACTGCAGGGAGCAACTTCAGAAAGACTGGAGCCCTCAGATACTACTGCTGAAAAGCAAAGACTGAGCTGAGACTGCAAATAAGAGGCTGGGCTCTCTCATGAAACGAGGGTCAGTCTCCACACAGCTGAGATACATCATCATTCCCATAAAGAAAGCGTCTGTTCCCATTGATCAGCCTGCAGCTGGGTGGGATGGGTTGTCTCTGAAAAGGTCAGCTTGCTGCAATCCATGGCCCAGCTGGACAAACAAGAGCTTGTTTGACCCTACGTGAGGATGGGGACACACTAGAGAAGCTGTCCAGGTGGGCCAGGGCTCTGCTTATTTGCAGGAGAAACTGAGAGGGTGCTTTGTAATCATTACCTGAGCTGAGGATTGATCTACATTTAGGGGTCTGCAATTTAGAAACAGCCAGGAAAGGGGGGGTGGGTTTAGGGGTGACCTTACAGCCTGGTGGGACACACACACACACCAGTCAGTCACTTGGCTTCTGCTGCATGCAGGTAGGGTGCACACCCTCCTGGTGGGCAGCCAACAGGTTGAAGTCCTCTTCTGGAGGCATCTTGGCTGCCGTGCCTCTGGCAGTGTGATAGGTAGGCTGCTGGGAGACATCCAGGGAGATGAAGGCACTGGCTGCTTTCTTTCTCAATGACTTTGAGCCCAATGAAGATCTGATAATGTGACTTCCATAAAGTTTGTCAAGTCATAAAGTGCAGTCGTGGTGCCAGGGGACCTGCCTCTGGGGAAGGAGTGTGCAGGCCCATGTCTTCTCCTGGTCACCAGGAGGATGTGATGGTCCCTGAGCAATCCCCAGGAACCTTCCTGTCCTCGTTTTTCCAGTTTTATGGGGGAAAAAAAACCAAGAGGTGCTTACCTGCTATACCCCCTGCCAGCCAGATGGAGAAGGGACTGGGGGAAAGGCATTCCTCGGGGGTGATCCACCCACAGAAACACATGTATGGGATGAAATAGAGGCAGTACCCAGGAATATCCCTCAGGAGCATTGCTCCTGAGCCTCGGTATATTCCTGCTATCCCTTCTTTCTGTAGGACTGTCCTAAAGCAGTGGATGGGACCTCGGTACACAGGAAAGCCAGGAGCTGTGGGGTTTAGTTTAGTGTCTGCTGAAAAAAAAATACAAAAAGATACAACCATTGTAATCACTTCAGTCATAACTGCTCCAGAACTCTCAGAAGCCCACTGCCACCAAACTGAAACCCCTGCCATTCCTTTTTTTTTTTTGCTGGGATCCACATGTAGTGTGGGGAAAAAAGTTTTTAAGAAAAAGAACTTAGGTCAGTTTTTAAAAGATGTTTAGACACCTCAGGACAGATTTTTCCCTGATGCACTGCGTGTCTCCTGGTGTGTGCCCTGAGAGATTTCCAAAGGAGGGTAAGGCTGTGTGCCCTGTTTTCATAGATTTTAACCACATCTGATGCCAAGCTGGATCTGTGGAAGCCAGCAGCATGTAGATGTGGAGCTGAGGGACACTATTTAGTGGTGTCCTTGGCAGTGCTAGGTCAACAGTTGGACTGGGTGATCTTAAAGGTCTTTTCCAACCAAAATGATTCTATGACTCTATCCTGCCAGCATCCTCTCTCGACCTGCCTTGCCTTGTGCCTGGGGACCTGTAGCCCTGTCCCAAATAATCCAGTGGTTATCAAATGTTCATGTGAAATTTCTGCCCTCCCCTTAAGCTCAGGAGACAGTCTATCCTGAGGCTGGACAAAGCACCCTTAGCCCAGCTGTGGTGGCACAAGGCAGCAGAGAGCTGGGTCTTCAAGCAACATTGTCCTGTAGCTCTTGTCAAACATTGAAGACTGGCAGAGAAAGGGCAAATGAGTTGATTCTCTTCATACCTTTGGTGTATGGCTGTGTTTGCATCTGCAGCCTTATCTTCACCAGCTCCACAGGAGTGCCAATGCCCACGGACACAAACCCTGCCACCACACTGGCCAGGGCCACGTCGGCCAGCGCTGGAGCCTGCGATGGGTCTCCATGGCGGAGCTGGCTGAGGAGCTGTTGTGTGTTGCTGAAGACACCAAACACCAGGGAGTTGTAGACAGCAGAGCTGGCCAGTGGGAAGGACAGGCCTTTGAAAAAACCAGCCACCTGCCCAGGAAAGGGAGCAGGAGATGAGAGAGCAGATGGGGCTGAGCAGCATCAACCCCAGTGTGTCCATCAAGTAAACACAAGTAGCAAGTGCCTCCTGGAACCAGCTGCTCACTTGTGCTGAGCAAATGAAAATTAACTCATACTGCTAAAGACACAGGCTGAAAGCACAGGAACCCATGTAGAAGTCCCTCTGATGGCCAGCTTCTTCCCTGGCATCACCAGAGTCAGCAGAACACCTCTGGCAGGGCTTTGCCAGCAGGTACAGGCAAACCAGCCACTGTGGGTGTAACATGCAACCCATGCAGAGCCACGGGCAGTGCCACTTGTCACTCCATACCAAGGATCTGTCTTATCCCTGGAGGAGTAACCAAGAGAGTTACCTTAGAGTGAAGCCAGAGAAGGCTGTAGGGCTCTGCAGCATCAGTTGCACCAATTTCATTGGTCTTCATGTAACTGCTGGTGTCAACAGTGGTTTTGTATAATTGCTTTGTGTATTTATATATCTATTTACATTTTCTACCAGCACATTTTAAGTCAGATAAAGTACTTACAGACTCATTTCTGTACACAGTGAGAACACAGCTGAGTGTATTTCCATATCCTTGTCCAGCTTGCAAACGAGTCTGCAAAAGACATTCATGAAATGTGACTGAAATCCCAACTTCCAGCCCAGTGAAAGCTCGTCCTGCATAAACAATGTGTACTTTGATTTGAGAACAGATCCTTTCTGAGTTGCAAAGAAAACAGAGCAATAAAATAAGATATATATGCATCCACCCTCTTGAACTTTGCCAGAAGCAGGACTAAACAGGACCTCAGAGGTCTGAAGCTTTCTGCAACACTTGGAATCAATACTGGTCAAATTGTTCTTGAGTCCAGATCAGCCACCCCAGCCTGGCCCAGGACCTGCAGCAGGTTACTGTGTGCAGTGCTCTCATTGGCAAGGTCCTGAATATGTGGACATCTGAGAGTGGTTTGGTCTTCTTCCTCTGGGGATTCTCAGTGAAGTTTGGGATGCATTGCTGAAGGATGGAGTGAAGAGCTCCCCTGGGAGGCTTCCAGAGCCCTTCCAATCCAAGGTGGATTTTAAGACAGGAAAACTAAATGGAGCCAAATGGCTCCATCTCAGAAATTCTCCATTCTTCACTCAAAAATACTTTTTCACATCATTTCCAACATAGACATTTTGTTTCATGGAAAGCAATAGTTGTAGCCCTTCCAGAAGATGCCTACAGCAGCTGTAAGAAATGGCATGTAAATTGTGACCAAGCCTGGAGACTTCAACATGCTTTCTTCTTCTCATATATACATGTATAAGAAGGAGGATGGATGTATCATATGTCTATTTATAAATACATGCAGACACATATTTAGATCATCTTTCATTCAAGCTGCTCACAAGTTTGCAATAATAAAGTCCTAACAAGTGATGTATCTTTTGGGCTTAAAGGTGTGTGAGGAAATGGAAAACCTGTCTGGTTGACAGGACCTGGGGCTTCAGCAATTAATCTGGGCTGAAGCCAGAGCTCACTCTTTATAGGAAAACGTGCCCTGCCGTGGGTGTTTTTCTGGGAATGAGGAGAGCATTTCTGCTTGTATCCATCAGCACTGCTGCTTGCAGGAATGGCAAGATGAAGCCAGGAGAGATAGTGTCAACCCGTGCTGGAGGCAGGTGCCCTGTCCCTTCTGGCGACTCAGCCTCTACTTACACCAGGAGGAAGCAGGAACTTTATTTGGGAATCTGAAGCCCAGAGGAGTGAGACTCCTCTGGAGCTGTGCCTGGGGAGAGCTTTTGGACAGCAAACAGCAGGTTGAATGGCACAGTGATTTATCTCAGAGCCCTGCCAGAGGCTGGAGCTGTAGGACCCATCCAGGGAACAACAGGAACCAAAGCCCAGGCTCATCCCTTGCTCCAGGGCTGCAGCACCAAGCCCTGAGCCCGACCTGAGGCCCCAGAGCAGGCAGCAGTGAAAGCAGAATGTTTACTGAGCCCTTTGCAACAAGCAGGTACACGAAGCTGCCTGTTGTGCAAGGTGGGCAGGCCCAGCCCGCGGGGCTGTTCACACCCTGACACACCGGGCTGGGGCTGTTTGCACCCCAGCAGCCCAGGCAGGGTGACTGTCCTGCGCAGCCCTGCCTTCCCTCCTGGCATCACCCGCACCCTTAGCCCAGGCATTCCCATCCTCGCCTCCCTGGGCTCCTTTGATTTTTCTTTTACACAGTAACCAGGTATTTAAAGATTCGAGTTAATACATTTTTTCAGTAGCTGAGGGCAACTGAGTGTCCTCACACCAATGCCCCTGTTAACACCTCACACTGAAATCACTGCTCTGTCAAAGTCTGCTGATACCATTATGGATTTCTCAGGAAAATTCTCCTTTTTGTTATGTTTCAGTGAGACAGGTCTCCTGGGTGACATCCAGAAACTGTAGGAAGCTCAGGGGAAATGATCACACTGTGGAGGATGAAAAGTGAGTAAATGTAAATTCATGAGTAAATGTAATTCAGAGTTTTGCAAGGCTGTGGAAAACATGTGCTTGGGTTTGATGGAGGCTATGATGCTGGGAAGGGGCAGCTGACCAGTCTAGTCTTCTTCTCAAGGTGAGGAAGGACCCTCCATCCCCTGGAGGTTGTGAATGCTGCTGAGCTGCCCCTTTGCTGGCTTAGTGCTGTGTAAAAACTGTCCTTTCAACTTCCCTTCCCCCAAAATTTGGAAAGATAACAAGTCTGCCTACTTGGTATTCCAAGGCCATGCACAAAGGGCAGCAGAGGGGGCAGCCTGACAGTTGTCTTTATAAGCACTGAAGGATGGGCTCGCTCCTTCTTGGCATCCAGAAACTAGATGCTTCCCAGCAGGATTCTCTCTCAGTTGTTGCCAAACTCCCCTAAACCTGGCAAGGCCACCCTGACAGCTAGCCTGAGATGGGCACTGCCTTGGCAACCCTGAGCAGAGCCCCCCTGTGCTGCCCATCCCTGGCCCTGCTGCCTCAGGTGGTGAGGGCAGCTCTGCCCCTCCTCCCACAGGAGGTCTGCACCCACACAACACTCCCAGGGCTGATGGCACCTTAGCAGCCCTGAAGCCTGGCCACCTCCCAGCCCCAGCAGAGCCAGCTGTGTGCCAGGGGATGGCTCTGATGGCTGTGCAAGGATGTGGCATAGGCCCTGCCTCCTGCCCATCACCCTCTAAGGGTCTCTAAGGTGTAAAGAAGACCACTGGTTCTTGGGTATGCTACATCTGGCAGCCCTGCCTGGTGCCAGCAACAAGGCTTGAACCAGACCAGAGCACATGGGCAGGGCAGTGGAAGCAGTCAAAGCCAGCCAGAGATGCCTATCACACTGCACAAAAGCACAAAGGAACAGGATCTTCCTTTTTATCTCTCCATCAGCAGGGATGGTCACCTTGGCTGGGCCAGGCTGAATCAGTGTGTGCAAGGGCTTGTCTACATCATGCTAGCAAATATCTTTTAACACTTCTAAGTCTTTCCCTCTGAGGAATAATTGTCTTGCAGGAATAGTAAATATTGCATCTCATAGCCCCAGGATAACAATTTCAACACTGCCCTTCCAGCATTGCCAACACAGGGAAACATAAAAATGTGCCTGCAGCAAAAAGAGCTCCTCCTGTTGCCCTTTGAATAACTGTCTGGGGCAAAGTTTTACAAAACACTGGCAGAACTGTTCAGAAAGTCACACATTAAGTGAGGCCAGGTTTAATTTTCAGCATTAATCCTCACCAGAGGAACTCGCACGCATCAGCCAGTTCCTTTAGTTTCTCATTCAGAATGAGGATAGGAGAGGAAGAAAGGCTAAAGTCCATGAACACATTTCTACCCAGGCTAAATTACCCTTTGGGGTGGCAGCTGAAAGTGAAGGTATTTTGAGGCATCATCTAGATCACTGCCCCACCAGTGAGGTTCTGGGTGATGATGTGAAAGTGTGGTTTGAAGTGGTTTACCTTGACTGTGTCCAGGGGGTGCCCCACAACCACACTGGCAGTTCCTGGGGGTGAAAGCAAAGTATTACACAAAACATTGGAGAGGCTTTTGTGACAGGACAGGAAGCAATGGGTCTGTAGGGGAGGAAGAGAGATTTCCATAGGAACCATTCTCCTGGGCCAGAGCAATGCCCAGCAGAATGCCCCACCTCTGACAACAGGCAAAAAGCTGGGCAGAAACACTTGTGTGCATCTTCCCTTGAAAACTGTCCTGGACTCCACCAGCTTCACATCTCAGAGGCAACCGAGTGAGAGGAAGAGATGGTGTGTTTGTGTGACCTCTCCATGAACAACCCTCCTGGCACTCCTGTAAGCTTATGCAAACATTTAGCCTTAAAATGGTGAGATCCAGGTTAGACAGGAGGAAATGCTTTCTCCTGGCTCAGATAGCAGTGCCCCAGGGCCAGCTGCTGATACAGACTGAGCCCCCATCCTTTGCTGTTGTAAGAGCAGCTTACAGATGCCTGAGGGGGATGACTCAGACAGAGGGGGTTCTGCTCTGTATCAATCTCTGTTGTCCCATCCAGCTGCTTTCCCTGAGGTTCTCTGGGAGAAACTGGCCCGTTCCCCCACCATCCTGCCCATCTCCCCGTGGCACTTGGTGCCAGGAGCCCCTGCAATGGGACAGAGCACAGCCTGGTTTCCCCCTTCTCAGGGAGAACAGGACAAGCTGTGTGCTGTGACCAGGACATGGCTTGATGTGCTTATAGCAAGTTTCAGGATGTTTGTGGAGATGTTGGTGGTTTGTGCTTCCTTCACACCTGCAAGGCTCTGTCCCAACCACTGTCCCCAAGTCTTTAGAGACTTAATGAAACTTCTCCCTTGTCACGGATTAGGACTGAAAAGAGCTTCATGTCTTTGGTCGACACATTCTGACCTTACTCAAAAAATGTATGATAAAATGTCCCCCTCTCCTCCTGGACTTTCACCTGCGACCACCTGTGGCCCAGTGTGAAAACAGGCCATGGCCACCCCCACTGGGCATGGGTGGCTGTTCCCTGGACACCCCGTCCCGCGCCGGGCTGTGTGGCAATAGCTCGGGGGCAGGGGGGCAGGAGGGCCTGCTTGTCCCCCTGCCCGCCCTGCCTGTCCCCCTGCCTGCCCTG